TGTGGTTAGCCATGTGGGAGTCCAGCACCTTACCGACCACGCCACCTGCTGGACCCACATCAAAAAGCAAGCATTGAGACCTATTGCTCCCTGTTTCTCCACTGAATGAAAATGCAAAGACCCACTGGCGAGAGGCATCAACACTGTCACTGCAGTACTGAATTCCTGAGCAAAATCACTCAGGGCAGGAGTACACCGGGCAGTGCTTCGTTTGGAAACAAGAGGGTCAGCGTAGCCTGTCATTTCTTTTCACTCTAGGTAACGAGGGAAATCTGCTTTCCTAATACTGACCCCTTGCCTGCCTGGTGCTGAGTTCACAAACACACACAGTACAGTAAGCGTACTCTAAAGCGGGATTGCTGGGTTACAGAACTGTTGAGCCTGAGCCCAGAAACCCTCTGGACCCTACCTCCTACACAGCAGAGGTCTTTGGCAGCCATGTCCTATCCCTCAGCCCACTTCTTACAACAGATATTCTAAATATTGGGTTGTCAGGAAAATCATGATGCATTTTTACATAGAAAAATACGTGATGACTTTTCCAACGACCTAACAGTTCCCCAGTTTCAAATCTAAAACTTCAAACTACCACTCTTCCTCTCCACAGATACAAGATGAGTACCCCTTATCCAAATGTTTCAAACTGTAAGTTATGAGTGTTTCAGGCTTTTTAAAAAACATTTGCATATATGTAATGAGATATTCCAGGTATGAGACCAAAGTCTAAACACAAAATCCAACTGTGTTACACATAGAGCTTATACCCATAGCCTAAAGGCAATTTTTATGTGATATTTTTGCCTTTCAATGGTTTTCTTAAGAATTATTTTTATTTAGATTTTATTTATTATCATTATTGTTATTATTATTATTATTATTTTCCAGTTTGATCAGAGAGAGAGAAAAAGTGAGAAAGCAAGCCACCAGGTCCAGGACTAAAACTGTAGTTGACAGTGTGGGAGTCCAGCACCTTTAATCAACCATGCTACCTGCCAGCCTCTGTGTTTCAATGTTTTGATCTGGGACCAGCAGATGGTGTAATGGTTACGTCGCTGGACTCCTACGTAGTCGGCCATGGTTCAAGTCCCGGACCTGGTGGCTTAAAACTCGCACCAGGTGGAACCAGCATTTGGTGTAATGGCTATATCGCTGGACTCCCATGCAGCTGACCATGGTTCGAGTCCCAGATCCGGTGGCTTAAACTCATGCCAGGTACGTGCATGTACATACCCATGATCCTGAGAGGAAATAGAGGAGAGGGATTGCAGCATGGCCATCCCCCCTGGGGGATGATTTCTCGCTTTCTGTCTCTCTGGCTCTCTGTCTTTCTGGTGAGCACACACGACCTGTAGCCAAAAACTCAAAAAAAAAAAAAACAAAAAAAAAAAACAAAAAAAAACTCACACCAGGTATGTATGTGTGTGTACCCAAAATCCCGAGAGGAGAATGGAGGAGAAGGGACTGCCGTGTGGCCATCTCACAGGGGGTGATTTCTCCCTTTCTGTCTCTCTGGTGAGTGCATGTGCCCTATAGCAAAAATCTCTCTTAAAAAAACAAACAAACAACAAAAAAAAATCAGTTTTGACTAAGACTGGTCATATGCGGCCACGTGTGGAATTTTCCATTTGTGTTGCTGTCTCATTGCTCAAAAGTTTCAGATTTTGGAGGACTTTAGATTTTAGATTTTTGGATTAGGGATGCTCAACCTAAATTTCTTCTCTTTATTAAGTTTTATTCAGGCCATAATGCTTTGGCCCTCTCAATGTTCCTTTCTACCAAAAAGCACCAGAATCAATATTCTTCATCTCTCCTGGCTGAAGGGTGCCCCTCCCAACCTTAATCTCAGCCAGCCCTGTGGACACTGAAGTCCTGGCTCCCTCAGCTTTCCTCCCAGTTTGCCCCAACCCCACCCAACTGAGTCTTCTTCACTTTGAGCTGGTTCGAGTTTCCTTGCCCCAACTCTGCTGCCTCCCTCCAGATGCCATCCCCTTTTGCTCTGTATTTTCTAGTAAATCTCTAGGTCTAGGTATGTACACCTGTACGCCTCATCATATCACGAAGCATCTAGAGTGAGGATTTAGGCCCTGCCGTGGTAGCACAGGCAGCAGAGTGCTGCTAGGTGATACTGGAGCTACATGAGAAGGCCTGGGTTCAGATCTTGGGCGACCTGAACATGCCGGGGGCACCTGTGGCTGCGGCCATAATCCTGGCTGGCTGGAAGATAGGTGGAGGAACTTCGGCAGGATGAGACCCTGCGAAGAGTGCCTATCTGTCTATCTGTCTTGTGAAATAAAGAAAGAAACGGAGTAAGGACTGAGAGAAGGCCAAGGGCACATGCCCAGCCCTGTCGCTGGCCATTTCCTTGACTTTAAACGAGCAAGCCACTGAGCCTTCCCAGCAACCTCCTCCCCTGTACAATGAGGTTAATGATGGCTGCTCTGCCTCCCTCACAGGTATGTAGTGAAGATCATGGAAGACACTGTGTGTGAAAGTGCACTGGGACCAGAAAGCACTTTAACAATCTAGTTATTCCTGTTATGACTCTCCCTTCATGACTCTTGACCTCTCAACATCTACTGAGGCAGGAGTGGTGACTGGCGATCTTCAGGTCGGTCACAGGGTTAACACCACCAATACTACAATGTCAGCACTTAAGATCCACTGTGAGTCACCAATTTTATAATAATCATATTCCATTCAAAAGAAGTCCAGCCTTTGGTTTTTAATGATGTGAGCATGGATTTCTGGAAGGCAACAGAACTGCTAACAATTATTGAGCATTACCAAGAGTCAGGTGCTGTTTTAAAGTACTTCACGAGAAAGGTTTTATTATTTCCACTTGACTGATGAGGAAACCGAGGCAGAGTAGCACAGCCACGGTTTGAATCCAGGCCTCTAACTCTGGAGCCCAAGCTCACTCACTGTCTCACGATTCTGTCAGTGAGAAAGTGGGTTCCAGGTGGAGAGAGGAAATCAGCGGAAGGCCATGGCTACTAGAGTACTGGGTATAAGAGAGTAACACAGATCTGCACGTATCACGTGTTATCCTATAAAAAGCCAGCACTGGCATTCACACTGCTGATGGCTGAGGCTCATCAGGCACTTCTACAAGCAGCCACTGAAGAATAGAGACTGGGGGACCAGCAATTAGTGTAATGGCTACGTCACTAGACTCCCATGTAGTCGACCACGGTTCGCGTCCTGGACCCGGTGGCTTAAACTCACACTGGGCACGTGTACATGCATGTCCAAGATCCTGAGAGGAGGATAGAGGAGAAGGGATTGGGACGTGGCCATCCCCCCTGGGGGGTGATTTCTTGCTTTCTTTCTCTCTGTCTCTCTCTGTCTTTCTGGTGAGTGCATGCGCCCTATAGCAAAAACCTCTCCAAAATAAAAAAAAAAAAAGAAAGAAAGAAAAGAATAAAGACTGGTATAGCTTTCCGAGAAAACCCTGAGGGAATGCATGAAGACCTGAGTGCTCTCTTTCCAGTGACACAGCAATGCCACTGGTATCCTAGTGAAAGAATCGTGGCTCTGTGCGTGGATGGTTATTGCAATGCTGATTGTAAGAGTCAACAGAGAGACAATATAAATGCCTGACAGAGATGAGGCAGGGGGATTACTGCTTACTCATATAACTGAACACTAGGCATCATAACAAATAT